GGAGCCAAGTGATAACGCAATGCGCACTCTTGTTCAGGTTCGCCCCAGCCGCATCTCGACGAACAGAGTCGGAGAGTGAGGCGTAAAGGCCAACTGGCCAATGAGGTCACGACATCCTAACTATGTGACGTGGCCTTCGCTGCAACTGACTACAACATGAGGAAAAAGCCTCTAGAAGGTACAAAAAACCTGCTACTGTTGCAGGACCATCCTGCGACCTGATGGACAGGGCAGCGGGGATGTTCTCGACAGAACCGGGTGTTCTGACTCAAGTGAGCCAGGAGATCCACAGTAATATCATTTTCACGGTGGTATTACGACTTAATACTCGTTTAAGCATCCACGGCGTCTCCACAATCTGCTCCGCTGGCGCAGCCTTTGGACTGGGACAATGCAAATTAAAGGGTGGTTCGTACACCGTCTAATGTGGAGCGTGAAGATAGCGCTGTTGAGGGATTCAGTGCGAAAAAGGTGGTTCCTTTGGACGGTCGCATGTGTTGATATTTCTGTCGAGATAGGGAAGGGTGGCCTTAGGTATCGAGTAACGTACTTGGTGTATTCCACTTACGCCATTGACCATGTCCCTTAGAGTATCTACCCCACGATGAAGGGCGATCGTAAAGTTGTTTCAGGGCTGTTCGATATATTCAGATGAGAAAACTGCAAACTTGCACTACGACGAAGGATGGACCAGCCAAGCAAGGTCAACATACAACGAGACATGTACATTTGTCGTACGAGGCGACTGGACTCTGGTGGATAGCAGGTACATGTGACCTCCACAACACCTTGATCAGAACTTACCTGGACAATGTGTTGGTCATCCGGCAAACAATGCTTCCGATGCGGCGACGAAAATTGGTCTTTTTATCGACGAAGCTCGACGAAAACACACAATCCGAGTTGTCCGATCACACATAAAATGCAACGTCAATTTCAGCTCGTCCATGGCTCGCCTGGAGAATTCTACACCTTCTCCCGATCAACCTGAACCAAAACCACCATCAATGTGAATTCAGGATGATTCACAAACATCTAGAGGTGTGACCTTTGGAAAAACCACCACCAGTATGAAAAAAGTCACTATCAAACTGAAATGACACGTGGCGATCTCGTCAAAAGGCACCGAACCTTGAGCGGAAACCAGATAAGCACAATCAAACTTCTTCACTTTTGAATCTGCATGAAACTCATCGGACCTACGACGCAGAGAAGCAACGAGTCCTCGACGCATACCAACAAGGTAGCGACGACTGGAAAGTCGTCACCAAGCACAACGGAATTTCCGTCACGACAACTTGGCGTGTTGTGTCGAACAACCGTGCTTCACTGCTTCCCCGCGGTGGTGCGCGCCCTAAGTGGACGAAAGTTACGCTGGAAATACAAGAGGCCCTCGAAATTTACCTCAACGAATATTGCCTGAACACACTCGGCCAAGTGCAAGCCTTCGTGTTGTTCGACTTTACGGGAAACCTTCTATTCACCCAAACGATCAGCAGACACTTGCTTGGCATGCTGTACACGGTCAAGAATGTCCGCGTAGAGCCCTCAACAAGCGACAATGCAGAGAACAAGTTGAAGAGACAAGAATTCGCCCACAAATTCAAGGGTCATCAAGCCGCTAACGACTTTTACTTTGACGAAACCAACATCAACATCTATGCCAAAACAAAAGGTCAAGCGCAGTCAAGGTCGAGCGCGGAAGGGAACGCGCCTGTACGTAGTAGCGCTGCGGCCATCGAAGGGCCCAAACCTCCAACTGCAGTATGCTGTCTCTGTCGTGGACGGCCGTGTGTGCCATCACATGCAATGAGGACACGTCAAGATGGATGTCAATGCAAGTTTTGTGGACCACATCTACGTCTGCGCCAAGCAAAGTCCCTCTTAGGAAGAGCACTTTCGCGGGAAGAAGGTTGTCATTGTTTTTGATAATGCGCAGGGGCCCTCTCAAACGGAAACGTGTGTGTTACCACACAACGATGTCGATAATCTTCGACTTGGCCCCTTTCGCTCATGTTGACTCAAACTGAGAGTTGTTTCAGTGTATTCAAGGCGAGCATCAAGCGCTACCTCGCTGAACGTACCGATCACATGTTCTCTCGGCACACCTTTGATACGTTCTTCGAGTCAAGAATACGCCTGCTCGAAGAGGCTGCTGTGGGCTCCCTTACTTGTATTACGCAGCCCTAGGTGATCAAGGAGGCTTTGTATTGCCAACGAAACGTAGAACGGGCCATCCTGTTTAAAGACATGCAGTATATAAAGTGACTACAATTCAAATTGATGGTGCCTTTATTGATCAAAATTAGGAAAAATGGAAAGTGAATTGGAAACGTTAAGTACTCTCTAGTATGACCTTGACTGGCAAGATGTATGTAATGCGTGTCTGGTGTAGCAAGTATTATGTCGCACAGATCAGACTGACATGCCAGTTTTCGCGTAGCTTTGCATGATACAGTTTTGCTCTTGGACTTTTGATACTTTCCAAAATGATATTTTGCACTTTGATACTA